TATTTATAGAATCTATATCAATCCATTCATCATCACTATCCTGTAATCATAATTTTATTAATAAAGCTTCTCTTATTAAGGCTAATATTAGATAAAGATAAATAGTAAATTTACTTTCAGTATTTTCACTTACATTATTTTCAATACCAATTTTTGAAATCTCTGCGATATTATTAGCCTTACTGTCGAGCAAAACTTCAGCACCTGGTACAAAATCATTAGCTGATATTTGACCATATTTTTGAATACTTAAGGTAATGTTCGTTTCCGTAGGGCGTCCTCTATCCTTCTTATGCAACAATTCAGGTATCGAATTTCTGAATAGAGTAATCAAAGATCGTGCAGCCATCATCACACTTCGTTCTTTGTAATATTTGTATCGTACTAAATCCTGTAGTAAATCTTCATTCATAACTAATGGACATCGCGTACATATCTCTCTAATAGCATTCAACCTGTATTTAAAATAAGTTTACATTAGATAAAATGATAAAACGTTTTGGAAACATAAATATATACATATATATACATTTTAATCTCCCCAGGCAAATATTTCAAAAGATATGAGAAATATAAAAAAAATGTTTAAAACGAAAGTTGTAGCATATTGAGGGAGACATATTTTGCTGTAACGTATTTGATCTTGTTTGACATTGAAAACTCTTTTAGAGGTCAACCGAGTTTTTAAATTGGAACCTATATTTTTAAGTACATTATCTTATAGCTGACATCAGGATGTTTCCCAAATACTACCTAAATATATATTTTACACAAACCATTACAAAAATATGATTCCTCAAATTCGATATTGCATCGCGATATATATGCATCTCGAAGAGGTTGCACGATTTGGAGGCTGGATATTGTACATCATGTTGGTTCTAAAAAGAGATTCAATTTAAAAATTCGAGGTTGATCTCTGAAAGATTTTTCAGTGTCATTACAAGGTCAAATACGTGATAGCACAATCTATCCCCCTCAATATGCTACAACTTCAGTTTGAAACATTTTTTTATATTTCTCATCTTTTGAGATATTTTCCTGGGGAGATTAAAATGGGACACACTATATATACCCTATAGCCATAACATCAGCTGAATTTCGTTCTGTGACAAAATTGTTTGCTAATGTCTTCAGAATTGGTTCCAATACATCAGGTGGTACAAGTTCATGAGAGGCTTGAGCGATAAATTGTAAAAGTTTTGTTACTTCTAAAATAGTTAAAAATAATACATCATTATAGTTTATTTTTTTGTAACAATAATTTTCTAATAATAAAATGACTACCTCTTTGATGTGGTTGCAAAAATCTTTGTAGATAAGGATAAAAATTTAATAAAAATAGATTGTGCAAACCAATAAGCCTTGAAATTACATCTAAAGCTAATAATTTAATTTCAAATCTGTCATTATTTTTTTCCAACTGTTTGAATAATTTTTCTGCAAAACCTTGTGGGTCATGAATTAAATGTAATGCTGAGAAATTAAATCTCGGTGCTTTTGTTGCTTTCTTCTTAGACTTCTAGAACATTTAAAATTTACATATATATTAATATTATTTGCAGACTGTATTCTGGTATCTATTAACTATTAGTGACTTACTGCTAACAGTTGCTTCGCTTTTGCTAACTGTTTCTCGCGTTTCTTTGTTTTTTTATTTACTCTATTAGCCATTATAATTTCTTTAATATTTGGTTCGCTATCGCTGTCGCTCTCCTCATTTTCCTGTTCTTCTATACCTGTGCCCAGAAAGAATTTCAAGCAAGCAACCATAACTTTGGTTGCCTTAACAAAGCATCCTGTTGCCAGAACATTTACAGTTTTCGCATCATTCCAAATATTTTTATTATATAATTCTATCATGATGTCTGTTGACATTTTTGCACTTCTGACATTAGAGTCTTTTAACATTGAAAACATAAAGTTTTGTAAAGTTGTATTAATTTTTGCATTCTTTTGTTTAGCGTTCACATTCTTGATATCAGCAATAATGTGTGTTTGAAGAAATTGCCTTAAATTTTTATCTTGACATCTTAGAAGTTCAAAAAATAAACTCAGAAGTACAGTAGGTTCCAGAAGAGATTTGTTACGTAGTTGAATCAGAGCTTTACAAAATGTCTATAAAAAAGGTATACACTTTATAAGAAAGAGAAACTCAGTTTAAACTTTATTTAATATTGCTTTTAGTGCTTCACACTTACTAATCGCATGTCATTATCAAGTACTGTATTATATGTTTGCAGTACATCAATGATTTCTTGAGGAAATGATTCTAATATATTTGGGTAACAATGGGCCACCTACATTTAAACAAAAGAATTACATAATGAAATTCTAATTTAAGTAAAATAATAACAACTTATGTACAATATGTAAAATTTATACATACGCATTTTGTGATATAAGATAATAAGTATAAGTATAAGATAATAATTTGTGCTATAAGTTATCTATTTGTGAGAAGAAAATAATATGTTTATAAATTTTAATGTTTTATTTCTCATGAAGAATTAATCAAGAAATACAAAATTAAAATAAATAAATTTGTGTAATAGTTAGGTGGCTTTAATTAACGCATTCTTGGTCTAACATAAATTATACAAATAATTTTGTACATTAAATCCAACAGTTTTAGCTATGACAAGAATAAAATCATATGATACGCAACACTTGAGTTTTGGTTCATTCAAATTATAATTTCCTACAACTGATAGTAAACCAAGTTGACACATAGATGGAATCTGTGAAAGTAGGTTAGCATTTATATCAACTTTTTCATTAAGAATTGCACAAAAAATAGCAATCATTCTAGATACTGGAAAATTGTAAGGTTCACAAAAAGCATTTAACATTATCTTTTTTTTATCAGTAATTCTCTTTTTCCTCTTGAATTTTTGTTTCATAAATATATATTTATCTTCTTTTGCAGGATTATATGAGGCCAAATATGATGCAATTAACATATACTTTGCATAATATGGTAATTCAAAACTTAATGCCAATCTCATTGTTGATTCAATATCTTTAGATAATTGATTATCTGTTGTAAAATCTTCGGAGGAAACTCGTAGATAAATGACTTCTAAATTTGCTTTAAAAGTAGCAGAAATATTTCTCCATAACAAAGCAGTATCATTTTTTTTAGACTGATCAAGTTTAATAGGTTCTATATATTTAGAAAAATTTATTTTTGCCATGTAACGAAGTTCATTAAGATCTCGACAGAATCTAAAAAATACAGAAAGAAATAAATTTAAATAATTTTTGTAAAATGCATCTTCATAATCACATGGCATACTTAAAAGTAAAATTTCAATTAATTCATTTTTTGTATATTGTGGAAAGTGAATTTTAAATGGTTCGCGTATACCAATCTTGACACGAAACTTTTCCCACACTACATCAGTTATAAATATTACACAAACATTGACATTTGATAATTCTCTGAGCTTTAAAAATATAGGTAATAAACCAATATCAATATCTCGTAATTTATCACACTTATCGAGTACTATTACAATTGGCCGAGTATCATTCATAGAAATTTCTTTAAGATTTATTATAAAGTCAACAAAATTGTCACATTTGTGTTGCACTTGATTGCCTGTTGGAAAATTATTAAAACATAGTGACAAATCACCCAGGATATACTCAAATATATGTCTATTGGTTACATGTTCTATACAATTAATAGTAGCTACATTGTATTTTAAGTAAGAGAGCATATTTTGCACTACTAAGGATTTTCCAGTAGCTACATGACCATAGACAAATATGCTATGTGGCATTGGTTCATCAGAATAACCAATTAAAGAATACAGTTGCATTATAACTTTTTTGCGACATATGATCTTTCCATCTAAATATTCCAAATATTTCTCCATAATTACAATCTTTAAAGTTTTCTTACTAATAAGCAATTTGTAATAATATTACAATAAACAAATTATTTCCTTCATATACTTTGTTAATTATACCTGCAAAAAAAAAAGCATTTTTCTAATATTTGAAACTATTACAGCATAAAGATCATGAGACAAATGTATACTTATTAGAATTATGAAGTATAGTCTTCCAAACTATTATTAAAGTTACCTGTGCCAAAAAGATGACTACTTCATCAAGGCTTTTATTAAACTTATTTGGCGCTAAACGAAAGACTTCTAAAATTGATTTGTAATGCTGATGTTGCTGAAGGAACTGTAAAAAGATTAGAAACCATATTAAATACATTAAATAAAAATATTGCATTGAAGACTTACTTCTTCCTTGTAAGATTCTGGATCACGTTTAATAAGATTTTGCAACTGCGGAAGATTTTCTGGTAACTGATTATTGTGTCTCACCATTTTTTCACCTAAATTCATACATAAAAATAAATTTATACACATATAGATTATAAATTATAATTATTATATATAAATTAATAAATTACTTATAACAATATATATATTTGATACAAATAGATAACCCGTACAACATATTAAATAATAATAATTTTGCAAGTTTATTTAATTTTCAATAACAAGAAGATATAATCGAATATATTATAATTTTTTTCTTCAATTGAACTTTACTACGATCATAGAATTTAATATTACCTAATATTTACACGTGTTTCCTATATAAACCATGATTAACCAATTTGAATATTGTCAAACAAATTTATTTCTAGATAGAATTGTAACTTTTATGACAGATAAAATACAAGTCTTGCACAAAATAGAAAGAAGGATTATCTTAAGAAGCAATAATAAAAAGTTCAAGATAGAATATATTTACCATTTGAATTTTCTAATGAAACCGTCAATCTAAGCCAAAGAGTAACCTTACTTTTCGCCTGTCTATACTATATATTTTATTATGGTAGGTACCTTGACGCGATCTTTGAGAAAATGGAAAAGATTTTACCGCAATTTTTTGCAATTGGTTAATAATACCTACAAAACCGACAATTATTTATTCGAATACATTATAAATATAGAAAAAGCAAAAAAGAATTCATCATTAATAACTATTTATAACTATATATGTATAGATAGATGTTTCAATATTTATATATAGTTTACGTGCGAGTATATTGTGTATATTAAATGGCATACACACATTAATAGTCAATGTTATTGACAAATTTTAACCACCGATAAACTCAGATCAATCCATAGCTCCACTTCATTTCTTTCATAAATATTTGTGATTAATAATATGTATATATTTTTTTAAATTTGTGCAAAAAACGACAAATAAACGTCAGTAAGAATCATGAGTAATATGCATATAATCACTACGGAAATGGACGAAGAAATATCCGCAGATGAGGAAGAAATTCTTGTATATGTAGAATTTGAAGGGCTTGTTGATGGTAATGTGTTTAGTGAAAAAGAATTACGATTAGATATGATCGGTATAGATACGGAACATCCTATAATGCAAATTAATGGAAAGGTAATTATAAAAAATATATATATAAATAAATAAAAAAGATCAATATTTTACAAATTTTGTATTATATTTTTGTTTTTAACAATTTCAGTTTTATGAGGGTTCCTATGAAGATGTTGTCGGTACTTATATGTTTTTTACAAAAAATGATAATCCCATGATAGATGACCCTGTCTTTGATGCTGCTCCAAATTTTCAATATTTTGCTAAAACCAGAAAATTTCTAAAAATGCAAAGAATCTTTACAAAGTCTAGAACAGAAGTTCTAGGTGATTCTGAAAATAATGAGTGTATTCCAAATCCAAATACACTTAAACAAGCAGGAATACCTTTTCAATATCAAGAAGAAGGTACCAAAAATAGCAGCAGCTCAATTTATTTAATATTGCATATCGTTATTACAATTTTTTCTGTTTTTATAGCTCTTTTATTTTGGAAGACTCTGCGAGATAATAGGTTAAATGCATTACATTCATATTTAGAAAAACAACGAATCAGACAAGAAAAAAAATCTCAAGGTATAATATTAGAGTCTGAGTCTGATGAGGATAATCCATTTGCTATATATAACCATAAGGATGAAGTCTCTAATTTTAATAAGTCTATTCATGTTGATGCAAAGAAGGAATTAAGTTACTGTGATAATCAAATTGATTCAAAATGTATGTATCCTAACGAAATTAATGATCAAACTTCAAACACCATTGAAGACAATTGTTATGAAAATCGAAAGAAACATAAAATTTCATTAGAATCTGAATCTTCAGTCTCAAAAAATGATAATCATTGTTTAATGAGATCTGTAAAAGGTTATAAGACTAAGCTAGCTCGAAACAAACAACTAAGTGTGAGTCGAAATAGACAAAGCAAAGAACTCAAAACAAAACGTATTTTATTAGAAAAACATATGGATGATGATGAAGTGTCAAGTTTGAAAGACACATCTGATAAGTCTAATATTGCTAAAAGTTTTAATTCATTAGAAATTAGTGAAAATGAAAATACAGAAGGAAATAACAGATGTGAGATCATATCAAATGATTAAATAAATCCATAAAATGTCAAAATTATAAAAGAACTTAAATGAGAAGGAAAGATGAAAGAAATTTCACAATAATTAAAATAGTTGCAAAAGGACATTTTCAATCGCATGCAACAATAAATTAACAGAAATGTACATAAAGTTATTGCAATAACGTAGTTAATATCACTGATATTCATTAAAATGAATAACATTTATTTATTTCTTAATCTATATTGCTTAATTCTACTTTTCTAACTTAATCTAAAATTAATATAGTGGTACTTCTATACTATACTTATTTATCAAAACATAACAAAGTAAGAAGATATTTCTAAACAATATGTTTCAACGAAATATTATCAGTTTCTATTATTATATACCAAATAGAGTGTACCTTATTTAAATTAATTTTCGAATACTGAATTACTTTTTAACATTAGATTGTATTATATTAGTCAATCAATTAATATATATAAAGAAATCAAGTTTTTCAATGCTGGAGACTCATATTTCTGATTTAGACATGTATAATTCACTATTCATAAATACATAAATACAATTTATTTTTTTACCATTCCAAATCACTAGGAAGTTCATCAGGATAGTCTCCTGTCAAACAGGCAGTACAATGACCAATATAACTACTTTCACGATTATCCATACCAAATCTTACGGCTTTTACAAGTCCGTCCACTGAAAGGTATGTTAAACTATCAGCTCCAACATGTTTTGCTAATTTCACATTATCCAATTTATTAGCAATTAATTCTTCTCTTGTTGGTATGTTAATTCCCATATAACAAGGGTATTTTAATGGAGGGGAAGCAATTCTAATATGAACCTGTAAAAAAAAGAAAGATTTATATATTATTTGTTTTTTCATAAATTTCAAACTAATTACAATATTGGTGGTACAATAACGTGGATATCAAATTTAAACAAAATATTAAAAGGAGGATTTACTTCTTTCGCTCCTGCATCGCGAAGTAACTTAATAATAGGTCCAATAGTATTTCCTCTAACAATCGAATCATCTATAAGAATTAATTTTTTTCCTTTTACATTTTCTGATAAAGCTCCAAATTTTTTTGCCACGCCAAGTTGTCTAAGTCGTGTACTGGGCTGAATAAACGTTCGACCAACGTATCTATTCTTGCACAACACTTCCGCAAAAGATATTTGAGACTGTAAATTAGTAATACATATATGCAGTTATATGTTTTATATTATTGTTAATTGTAATTATAAAATCCTTATAAATTAATAACTCTACCTCTCTGGCATAACCATGTGCTGCTGCAGTTCCAGATTCGGGTACTGAACTAACTATATCTGCTTCTACCGGAGATTCTAAAGCAAGTTCTCGTCCACATTGCATGCGAACAGAATAAACCATTTGTCCTATTATGAGAAATAAAACAAATTACTTACTATAATTATATATTCTAAAATTTTTGTTATGTTACGTTACTTTCATTTTATTATATTGTGATAGATTACCTTCAAAAATACTGTCGCTACGTGCGAAATAAACGTATTCAAAGATGCAAAATGCCTGAGGCTTTTTGTGTGGTCTATCAACAATGTCTATAGTTTTAATACCTTCGCGCGTTAATTCTACAATTTCTCCAGGAAATACTTCACGTACGTATCGTGCTCCAATACTTAAAAAGCCACATGATTCGGACGAAATAACCCAACCTTCAGCTTCATCATCATCATCTGACTCATCCCCTATCATATAAGAAGATTTTGTTAATTCCGATTAATCATTGACAAGATAATTTATTTCATTCATAGTAATAGAAAGAGATTTATCTAATGTGATATATTATAAAATTCTGACATTCTATTATAAAGTTTTTATTATAATTGACGATATAAAATTACCTAAATTACCAATTGGTACAATTTTTCCAAGACATAATGGACGATTTCCATATGGATCTCTAACACCATATATCTTATCTCTTTGCATAATTACTAATGAATATGATAATGGTGCTAATTGCATGAGGTGTTTTATACGTGCTGGCCAATCTGGGCCATTAACTTCACCTTCAGGAGGATTCAAACAAAGTGCTTGTGTTATTAATTCAGAATCTGAGAGAGTCGATAAACCAACTCCACGTCCTAATACCTAACAGTAAATCAAAAATTATCAGAAACAAATATTAAATTAATATGAAAATATTTCTTGTATATTTTCTACAGATAGAAATACCATTTTTCTTAATGATTCTGTATTCACTAGCTCTCCATTGTGTGCAACTGCTAATGCTCCATGTGCAGTATGAACTACAAATGGTTGACAATTAACTTCTTCACTAGCTGCGCTTGTACTATATCTAGTATGACCAATTCCAAGATTTCCACTAAGTTTTTTCATGTTTTCATCATTGAAAATGTTATTAATCATACCCATACCCTTGTGGACATGAAAAGATTTTGAACATACACCTTCACTTGTAACAATGCCTGCACTTTCTTGACCTCTATGTTGTAATGCCACTAAACCTAAATAAATATTAATAATACTTATTATATAATATTTTCTAAAGAAATATATCATAGTAAATGCATTTATAAATTTACCTAAACAAATCACTTGAGCAACGTCAATTTGTGATGGCCAGTCACCTGCAGCAATGCATCCAAAAACTCCACATTCATGTGTGAGGCCAGTCATTGTTTGACCTCTCATTTGTTTTTTAGTGCACAGTACTTTATCTCTTTTACTTTCTTGAGGTACTATTTCAGTGCAAGAATCTGCTTGCATATTACAAGATATTTTAATCATAATCTGGAAGACATTAATTTATCAGATAAAATATGAAATGAAGAATACTCTTAAGATATATTACTTTATTCATGCTATCCCATAAATTGAAACTTACATTTTTAAGTATAATAAAAGATCAATTTAAGATTGAAACTTCAAGAAGTTAAGGTAATATACTATATAATATTATGCAATAATGAAAAGAAAACAGTTTTCTTATATTGTAAAGCATAGCAGACCCTTGAGATTTCTTAGGAATTATCAATAATGACCCTATATAAACTATTGACCCCTAATAAACAGATAGAATTCTTCTTTCAATGTTATTACTACATTTTTTAATATATTTGCTTAATCTGTATTTCGCAACTGATTTCATCATTACATCCCTGATTCTATACATACTGATATTGGTATATGTAGAAAATATTTACAAGTTAATCTTGCCACTTGATGCAATATTGTAAAATATATTAGTAAATAATTATTTTTTAAAAGTAAGTTTTTTCTTCAATTTATAATATACAGATTTTACTATCCAAAACTTAATATATTCTTCTTTTATAATACACATACGCGTACGTGCATGTTTGTGTGCATGTATGTAAATCATTGGAACAATAACGTATTCAATATGAAAAAATTATGAACGATAATAATTTTACCAATTTATTCAATATTCAATCAATTAAAGAAATTAAGTTTGTAATTCTATTACAATTGCAATCTTTTTATCAGAGACTGTACCTACTTGTTGAATATGATCCTTGACGCTGTAATAACAAATGTAAAAAATAAATTACATCTAAATTTTTTTCATATTATTTTTCTTATGGCTAAATTTATTTTATTGTGTTACTTTAATGGATTATCATTGGATTCGATCACTCTATCAAAACATTTTCATTCAAGTATACAAATTTGAAACTATGTATTCATACATACCACGTGCGTCAGAAGTTTGAGCCTTCGGGTCTGTCAGCTTGAAAGAGATTCACATGAGATGTTTCTCGACTAGCTTTAGAAATACGAATGGATATGCTGGTCAATGGAAATTTGTTTTTGACTGGAGGGGTTAGCTTCTTTAGTTATTATCTTACTTTTAAACTCTTTGACTGCTTGCTTACATTTATTAAAATATCGGATGTAACTTGCTAAAGTTTTATAAAAGATCGATTATAATCTGCCGTTTAATCAATATATCTACGCGTACATCAAATATAGCTAAGTGATTATTATTTTTTAATTTGCCATTATAAATGATTTTATAGTTATTTTAATTTCTTTTTGATATAAATTAAACTTTCAGTAATCAAATCATAGAAATCCAAGCTTATATAATGATAATAATATACTATAGCATCATGTTGTTTATAAGAACTTTCTTTTTCATGATCGAGCTGTTTATGATTGATTATAATCTTATTATGACTTTTTAGTATATCAATTTATATTTGTGACACGTGATATGTCATTTCTAAAGAACTTTTAAAACTAATTTGTATGTTTAAAATAAGCATATATTAGTGTTACGTACTCCTATAGCACTCGATAATTTTATCAGTTTTTAAAATAGCAAAATTTATTCAAATTCCTTAGATTAATGAATTAGAGCATTTGGTTTTTTTGTGATCTCTTCAAGAATTTTTCTTCATATGATACACACAATATTCATAGATCTAACATGTAACTTATATAAAGATTATTTATAAATTTACACCAATCAAGCGAAGCATAGTTTTGAAAGAGGGGATCATTAAAGATCGTTAATCGTATGGGAATTGAGAAGTTACGAATACGAATACGAAGTATTTGCTAAGTGGATCGAAGACAGAAAACATGAAAGGTAAGTATCTACTACAAAGTGCATTATATTTAAAAGAAAAATGAGAAAAATATGATTTTAAAAAGATGGAGTGACTTTTTTTTGGTATAAACTATCTATTAGAAATATAAGTTAGAAAGTACTTTATTTTATTTTCGATATTGGAGATTTATATTCATCTTCCAGACAAGTATCTTTTATGTGTTTGTCTGTTTGAATACATAAAGGATACAAAATATATAATAAATAAAATATGCAGACATATAATTTATATTTTAAAAATGTAATCACACGTGATTATAATATTTCATTAAAGATTATTGCTGCTATTAGATATATAAATTGTCTATTTCGTTGTTTTTAACTAATTGAAAAAAAAATTACAATTAATATGTTTTTTTAGTAGTATCACTTAATATTCATAATATTTTAACCACAATACAAAACGATATATACGGTACGATATATACGGTACGGATGTATGAAATATTATGGAATGCTTTCATAATCTATATATCCTATATATATTCTTAAATGGACAAATTTTATGTGTTCAATAATATACAAATTATTTTATCTTTATATGGCTCATTTATTTAAATATTCATATTTCTAAATCCTACAACTTAATATCATACCATATTAATTATATTGATTTTATTCAATTCATATTAAAATTGAAATGATATTATTAAATATTAAATTTTTATTAAATATAATAATTTGTTTTCTGTAAGAGATTTCATCTCCTTCAATTGCTTATATAATATAAATAATTTTTATATCATTAGAATATAAGTGTGGAAAACTCATAATTGAAGGAAAAACCAAAAAGGTTTATGAAGTTCTAAATGATTCTACTTTATGTCTCTTACAAAGTAAGGATCGTATTACTGCTGGAGATGGTGAAAAATCTCATGATTTAAAAGGGAAAGCTGCGATTAGTACAGCTACTACAGCTAAAGTTTTTCAATTGTTAAATGAAGCTGGAATAAAAACTGCATTTATCGAAGTGGTAAATGACACTGCTTTCATTGCACAAAAATGTGAAATGGTCCCAATAGAATGGGTCACTAGAAGATTAGCTACAGGCAGTTTTTTAAAAAGGCATCAAGGTATAATAATAATTACTGTAATTACAAAGTTATATATAGATGTTTATTATTTGTGTTACTTTGTTTTAATCTTTATTGCTTAGGAGTTCCCGAAGGATATAGATTTAATCCACCATTACAAGAAACATTCTTTAAAGATGATGCCAATCATGATCCACAATGGTCAGAGGAACAAATTATTTCTAGTGGTTTTAAGTTGAATGAACTTATAATAGGAAAAGATGAATTTGATATTATGCAACGTACTGCACTTGTTGTATTTGAGGTTTTAGAAAGGGCATGGGCAACTAGAGATTGTGCTCTTATTGATATGAAAATAGAATTTGGAGTGAACATAAATGGTGAAATTATGGTAGCAGATATAATTGACAGTGACTCTTGGAGACTGTGGCCATCTGGTGATAAAAGATTGATGAAAGATAAACAGGTATTTGATGTAGTTATCCTGCAAGTAAAGGTATGATATTTTTTTAACTTAATTTCATTACCTTTGCTTTGTAGGTATATAGAAATTTGAATACTGTAACTCAAGAAGATTTGGATACTGTAAAACGTAATTTTAAATGGGTAGCAGATCAACTTGACTTTCTCATTCCACCAGCTAGGAGTCTTGTTGTTATTCTAATGGGATCACCTTCTGATGAAGATCATTGTAAAAAAATAGCAGAACATGCAAAGTCTTTAGGTTTAAAGGTTCAACTTCGTGTATGCAGTGCCCATAAAGGTACTCAAGAAACATTGCGTATTCTTGCAGAATACGAAGGTACTTATGAAAAGGTACATATATTATTATCTTAAAAAATGAATGGATTATAATTTTTATATTATATTTTAGAAATTTTATAATTTATATTTTGATAAACTTATAGTTATATAAAATAAAATATCGTATAGGTTTTTAAAAATATATCAAATGATATTTTGATATTTATACGTATTTAAAAATATGTTAGAGGTATTTACACTCATTTAAATAACGAATAATAATTACAAGAATAACAGCGATAATAGTCGATTTACTGTATTAAATACAGTAAATAAAGTATCAACAATATTTGCATTCATAATAAATTGAATATCGCTCGGACGTATATTGCGAAGTCGTTTAATCACGGAAACATAATGATAAAACTACTGATATTGATGAATATGTGTTGTTTATTTTTAATTATCACAAGTTTTTCTTCTCCCTTCTAGGTGGTGTTAATAGCTGTAGCAGGGAGAAGTAATGGATTGGGTCCAGTACTCTCTGGAAACACAGCTCTGCCTGTTATTAATTGCCCACCTTTCAATAATATTAATATTTCACAAGATTTGTGGTCGTCTATTAATGTTCCATCAGGTGATTTCTCGACTGTAATTTAATCATGCTATCAGTTTTTGTTATAAGAACATTATTAAATAGAATTTACTAAATTTTCAGGGATTGGATGCACCACAGTTGCTTATCCTGAAAGTGCAGCATTATCGGCCGCTCAAATTCATGCATTACATGACCATCTGGTTTGGGCACGTCTACGAGTAAAGCAGTTGATAAATTACATTACTTTAAAGCAAGCTGATGTTAAACTAAAAAATCTTGTTATATAATATATTGTGTCAAAATTTAATATTACGATTTCACAACTTAATTTTACACATTACATTGTAAACAACTAATTAAGCAATTGTTTGTACAAGTTTATACAAATGAACATAAGATAAATACCTTAAAGCTCTTAATTTCATTTGATGTAAACTTTCTATGATATTCATGTTACTATAAATATATATATATATTTGTGGTATTCGGGCTATCATTTATATTTGAGTAATCAGTTCGTGAATGAATTTAATTTTACATAAATGTTTGTACTAGCCCTTTTTGTGTATACCGTGTTATTGTTTTTCTTAGTTATCCTTTATTGGTTGCAAGTATATAATATTCATTTATTCACATATAAACAAATTTACGAATAAAATAAAAATATGCATAATTTTGTATGCAGTCATCTTTTATGTATTACATACTTAATCTGAAACAAAAAACTTGAATGATTACTTTGTATCAAACATGTCAATAAAATTATATTAAATCAGTCAGTATACATATTACACGCACTTTATCATTACAAATGTTGACTCGCTAAAGCTTCAATCTTGATAATTTCTTTTGGACAGTTTTCCGTTAAATTTATTGAATCACTTTCTGTTATTAAAATATCATCTTCAATACGAACAGCTAAGCCATAAAATTCTGGTGGCGCAAATCGATTTTTATGATTAATATATATTCCTATAAATGATAAAAAGTAAAGTTATTTTAAATGTTACAAATAAATTAATGTTTCTCAAGGTATATTACCAGGTTCCACTGTGATTATCATTCCTGGTTGAAGCTTCAGACTCCTAGAAATTTTCCCAGTGTCGTGTACATCCATCCCCAAATAATGGCTTACATGATGTGGGCAATAAGTGTAAACCGCAGAAAATAATTCGTTTTTATTCAAATGTTTTGGTATCAGACCACTTTCTTGTAATCTTTTGCCTAATAAAAAGCACATATCATGATATAATTGATCTAACGATGGTAATTCTTTTAGTTTATGAATTAAAATATTTTGAACATCCAGTACTATGTCATATAAAATTTTTTGTTCTTGAGTAAATGTTCCATTAATTGGCCATGTTCTGGTTACATCAGATGAATATCCATGATATTCACAACCTAATTAAAATTTTAAAGAATAAAGGTACAATAAAGAATAAAATATTTGTCATCTATAGATATGCTAACAAACCTGCATCCATCAAAACCATATCTCCATCTTTAATTATTTGATTGTTAGTAATATAATGGATAATATTGGCATTGCTACCCGCAGCAACAACTGGTGGATATGCTAAAAATTCTGCACCATTCATTCTACATTCATAATCCACAGTTGCAAACAGATGATGCTCACTCATTTTAGGTTTTGATATTTCTATAGTTTTAGATATTGCTGCTGATATAATTTCACAACTTTTTCTCATTAAATCTATTTCAGATTGTGATTTAATTAATCTGATTTTATGTATTATATTTGTTGGAGAAACAACCATTCGACCACTTGTTATTTTCATTAATTCACATAATTTATTGTGTAAATTAGGTTGTGCTACATCAACATTGTCATACCAAATAGTACTTTTTTTATTTTCATTCATAAAAGAAGTAAAAAACTGTTCGAACTCTGTTACTGGAAATGCTGCATCAACACCAAACATTTTAGGTGCTATTTCAATTCCAGTTTTAGGGCCATCCCATAGTTCAGAATGTTCATCTTGTTGTGTTAGAAATAGGGTAGTTACAAAGTTTTCATTTTTTGCTGTAATTATCAAAATACTATTGGCTTCTTGACAACCAGTAAAATACAAAAAGTCCGTATTTTGACGAAAAACATACGGAATTTTGTCAGACATGTATACTTTGGATGCAGAAGGAATAATGATAATATGTGATTTGCCTAGATTTGTGACACAAGCATATGAAATAATATTCTTTATCAGTTTGTCTCGTCTCTTTTTGAATTCACAAAGCTGAATACCAGGTACAACTTCTCCATTCTTCATTAAATGCGGATGTGTTATTGCTGTTGGTTGGCCGCATAATTGATAGGAAATATTCAATGGTTCTTTAGATTGTCGTCGAATTGAATTATTTGTAATGGTATCTAATGAATTTCCTACGTACGTTCGTTGCCCTAAAATTACAATGAATATTAATGTAAAAAGCTTTATGTTTATAACCTTGCACATGCACATTTGAAAAAATATAATCTATTATTTATCGGTACTTTTATTTTTCTTTTTCTTACCGTATTTTTTAATTTGATATATAATAGCGTTCCTCAAAGTATTAAACATGTTAATATAGTTTTAATAGGATTATTTAGATATACTAAAGATCTTTATGAAAATATTAAAAAAAATCTTAATAATCGAAACCTATAGAATCACGCCATGTTATTCAGTAGTCAATATAGAGTTGATTTGTGTAGTACTTTTGTAAATTGTATACAACATATCCATTCTGAGCTGCTACTGTGACAGGCAACAGACAACCACAATGTAACTACTCGTCTGAAGAAATTGACGATGGATTTAATGTAGTATCTACGTTGTTCTACGTTGTTTATCGTGACTTTGTATCTATCGTTAGGGTCGTTCTTTTACGATCAATACATAGTCAGAGATCATGTGATGTTTTGGAAAAAATTAAAGTTGACGATGTTGTGATCAAATATAATCATACCGAACAAATTTAAGATACTAAAAAGTGACAACTTTAATCATATTTAAATTGTAATTTGTAAGACAAAAGTAGCTTTTCATCATAATATTAAAGGAAGAGACAATCATCAGTTCTTATAAACATTGATTTTTTTATTGTAGGTTTAAGAAACAATCTTTCAAATGTCCCTATTCGAAAAAATCGAAGATGTTATTTCGCTACTTTAACTAACCTACGAAAAACAGTTTTGTGAAACACTGATAATTATTCAAAATTCAAATTTCATTTTACTGAGTTGGAGTGGGAAACTTTTGGAGTCCAAAAAGTTTTTATTTAAAAGAGAAAAAGGAATACAATGTGTTTATAGAATGATTAAGAAATAAAGGAATTATTTTATACAGTATTACACATTTAGTTATGAATTATAATGTAAAAAATCCAGTTCAATTTCAAGATTATATTTTTTATTGTATTGAAATTGAATAATTTTTGGAAATTTGGTATATATACACATATACATTATATATATATATAAATATAGAAAATTAATATGAGCATTCAATTCGATATTATAATGAGGCCAGAAATCCGCTTGGATGCAAAATGGCTCAAAACAGATTTGAAACGTATCCTCTATCGGGATGGTTTAGCTGAACTTTGGAATGAAATGGTACGAGATGGAGAAATTGTGGGTTCCTTTAGCGATGGCATAGTCAATGCTGCAGGCATAATAGCTAGAAAAGGTATGAAAAAGAATAAAAAAAAAGATTTATTGAATTAAGATTAATCATTTATATTAACTGGTCACATACTGTTTCAATACATTTAGGTGAAAGTGGTCATTATTATTGTAACATGGGTGTATTAGCATGTCCTTGTTGCAATGGAATTTGTGGTCCACAGCATGGTTGCAATTGTGGACCTTGCCAAAAATTAGATGAAGAAGAAGCAGCAAGAACAAGTGCATTTGTAGAAAAACGTATATTAGCTGAACACATAATGGATTCTTGGCTTTGGGGATCTCAGCCTTGTAAAAAATTTTAATATAATCTAATATAATCTGTAAGATTTATATAATTTTCCTAACATTTTAACCATTTTTCAGCTATTTGCGATTTAACAACATGTATTAATTTACTAATCAAGGAGCAAAGAAAATTATGTTATGAAGTTGCAAACAGTACCTTGTCTGCTACTCGATTAAGACAACGTTTGGTAGTAGCAAGACGATATTTTACGGCTCTTTCTCGTCATAAACCGCAGGAAACTACAGATATTTCAACAACATTAAAACCTACTGCTAAGTTACAAAAAATGTACAATAATCAATTTTAAGACTAGAATCATTTGAATGTCTTATATATCTCGAATATTATAAATATCCTTAGATTACAAGAATTATATGTGTTTAAACGATTTGATTATAAATTGGTGGTTATTGATTATATAATGATAGTTTTAATAGTTCTTTATATATTCTTTAGAATATATATATATAATGGTGATGTATCAAAAATATAAATATTGATATGATTTTAGCGTAAGGCCGAATGAAAAGCCAACATTGGGTTTAGCGCGTGTGGGATCTCGTGCAGCGTTAAATTTCTCATTCGCATATTTAAGACGGGCTTGGCGATCTGGAGAAGATGTAGAATTTTGCAGCGAGCTTTTATCCGAGTCGTTGGAAGCCTTGCAATCGTTACCTGAAGCTACACTTTTTGACGAAACTAATGTTTCTCAAGTATGGTTAGAAGTAGTGGAACGATCAGCGAAATTTTTAAGACAAGTTGTTACAGGGTATTTATATTTTTTCATCATATTACTTATTATATTATTACTATCAATTTATTTTTCATGTTTTTAGTACACATAATTATATTTTTAGGGACATAGTTAGTGGAAGATCATGGTGTCCTATTCCAATAGCCGATCAGCACACAGCTCTTTGTTTGTTATTAGAATTGGTGACACAAAGAGCTACATTATCAAGTTTATTAGATTCTGTTTGTTTGTTACTTCATCTAAGTGGTAAACACAAACATCAAGATAATCGGGTAATGCCACCTGGAAGCACGGCACCGTTGATACCATTATTGAGACGATTAAATATGATACCAGCTTCTAAGTCAAGACGAACAGACGCAAACATTGCACCGGGTCCTTGCGAAGTTTTACTGAAGTATTTGAGGCTTCCTGAAGATGATTCCACGTCTGTAGATTTACGAAAAGCTGCAGTTATAATAATGTGCAATCTGAGTAGATTAGCTGCTCCTCTCCTGCCTCCAATTATCACTGATAGATTCCAGAAGAATCAGAATCAAACGTTTCAAGAAGTTCTAAGTTGGGGAAGCGGAAAATTAAGCAGTGGATCATCTCCATTTTATTGTGATGCGATTGCAGAGCTTGGGATCAAACAACTTTGTTGTACCGAAAGAGCTTTGATGATTCTTTCAATTAGTGGAAACGTTTACATGATGTATTACGGGTCAGAAACTCAATATCCCCAAAGAGTATACGGATTTTCAGAGAAGCCGGTTACAATGATTGCCTCTCATTCTGACGGTACGCACTATTTAGCCTTAACACAAGATAGTTCCGTTTATTCGTGGGGGAATGGTGATGGTGGACGATTAGGTCACGGAGATAGAGTATGGTATGATGAACCAAAGCTGGTCGAAGCACTAGTTGACAAGAATATTACATTCATAGCATGCGGAAGTACGTATTCGGCAGTTCTTAGTTCGAACGGTGAATTGTACACATGGGGAAGAGGAAATTACGGAAGGCTGGGTCATGGAAATTCAGACAACGTCTTGATTCCTACGTTAGTGACCGCTCTAAACGGACACATGGTTGTGTATGTGGCATGCGGTAGTGGAGATTCACAGACTTTATGCGTCACAGCGTCTGGTATAGTATTCTCGTGGGGTGACGGGAATTATGGAAAGCTTGGTAGAGGAGGCTGCGATGGATCTAAGACACCAAAGATAGTTGATAAGTTGTTGGATATAAACGTGGCAAAAGTGTATTGCGGTGGACAATTTTCGGCAGCTTTAACTGCATATGGTGAAGTTTATACCTGGGGAAAAGGAGAAGGTTATCGGCTGGGACATGGTAACGAGGAACATATTAGATATCCAAAAGTGATCGAGGTATTGAAGCCAAAAAAAGTGAAAGAATTATGTGTAGGAAATTTTCATGTATTGGCATTAACAGAGGATCAATTGGTATATGGATGGGGTAGAAACGATTATGGTCAAATAGATCCGGCATTGGGCACTATTGTGCCTGAACCGACTCTTTGTCCAACGTTATCTGGCAAGAATATAATCGGTTTAGCTTGTGGACTGACACAAAGTTTTGCGTGGTGCACATCAGCTTGGTCAGTCGCGAACAGAGTAGCTTTCGTTGTGGATATCTGTGAGGAAACTTTCCGATTGTTGGATACGTTATTGAACAAGGTATGCGAAGGATTGCCAGGCACACGGCCACCTACCCAGGATCGTGAATGTTTAGCGGTCGCAACTTTGAATTTGATCCGATTACAACTACACACAATGATAACTCATAACATCGATAGCAAATCAGTCGGATTATCAAATACTCCATTATTAAGCTCGTTGAAACAACGATGTGTTACGCTCGCAAGCAGCTCCGGCATTCTAGCTACTATCCAAGAAGCAGCTCAAGCCGTTTTACAGACTGGTTGGAGCATCTTACTGCCGACAGCGAACGAACGCGCAAAAACATTATCGAATTTCTTGTCGAAAGCGAATTGCAGCAGTTTTGAGCAAGTAAATGCTAGCAACGGCCAGCAGTTCATGGCAGACTTGTTAGTTTCTAGCCTAATGGCGGACGGCGGTCTGGAATTAGCGTTGAAGACCGCGGTGAAGGCGGAGACGAGCGAGCTCGCCGACGAGAAGGAATTTCTCGCGAGTAGTAACGTGAGCAAACCAACCGATACGAAACAAGCAAAAGAATTGAATTCAGAAAAAAACAACACGAGTATATCGTTGTTACAATTGGTGAAACAATTGATCAAAAACGGCACATGTATCACGCAGTCTAGGTTACTGCTCAGTCAACAATTGGTTCGTAGTCACGAGGAATCGCAAAGAAACGATAACTCTCCAAGTTTGAATCTTCTTTTAAAATTTCAACGATTACTAATTGCTCAAGTATACGAGTGTATTGATGACGTTGGAACGAAGAAGTTGCGCGATCAAGAAATGCTTGGTGCGGAATCTCTTTTAAAGAAATATCTCTCCCAAATTTGCATTCACATAATCGAAATAATGTCTTTCGCGGCTGAATTAGCCAACACCAGCATCAAACAGTTCGTATTCGTTAGTACTGTTCTAAGAGGCGACATTGTAAACGTTTTGCTACCCGAACTGATTACTTGCCTTATTTTGTTGCAACTTGACTATCCATTGTTACTTCTAAATATGAATTGGATGGATGTAATGGCGCCGATGTTGGACGCACTCGATCGATTTAACAAATTGGTGCCGACGATAGAGAAAAGCGAAACGGACGATCTTTCTTGGCCAGGCATCATAGCCCCGCAACATGGCAATAAAATATCTATTTCGGATGAACCTTCGACCATTCGTTGGGCCGACTTGGAGAACCACAATCGCGATGGCGGCCTTTGGGTGGTAGTAAACAACAACGTATATGATGTTCAAGATGTTCGATTCGACGGAAGATCAAATTCGTTGGAAGGTCTTCAAAGAACCGTGACTAACTGGGATGTTAGCTCCGGTACCGAAACAAACATGTCATCTTCTCGTGGCCAACTACCGCGAACCATGATGGATTCTTATTTCGTTGGGCATTATTGCCATTCCGAGCCGGAAAACACTGAGATTACGATTGACGTGACAGACGTATGCTCTTGTTTACTTGACACGGAAAGAGCTTTAGGTTTTCTTTTAGGATTACACTCTCATAGGATGCGGCAGAGTTTACCGTTACAAACTGCCGAAGAGGAAGCCGGTCGCTGGTTAAACGCGAACTTTTTTCGAGGTGGATTGCAAATCTTACAACCACCGAATCCTTACGAGGAGGAGAAAGGAGAAGCGAGGAGTAATACCTCGACAGCCGCGAATTCACCGACGGAACCTCCCCTTCCTATCCGTACCAAGAATGAACTACAAAAGGAACGACGAGAGGATGATCGAGTTACAACGTTCATTTACGCCCTAGCCGAGACTCATAAAACCGACGCTCAAGTGCATTCCTTCCTAACGATAGTCGACAAATATTCGAAAGCGAATAATCTTTTAGCGCATACCGAATTTTGCGGCGATCACCCGTTGGAGGAAGTTAGCCGACTTTTAATGGCGGTTATATTAAAGCATCTTGCGCTGGGTTATCAGGCGATAAACTTAATCGATCATCAAGAAACAGGAAATGAAAGTAGTCCGAAACTTACCAAACAATTGGCCGAAGTGATTAGAGCGATTCATCAAACCAAATGGAATTTAATCAGGATCAGACAACAACAGAATAGAAGTTACAAGGAGGTGTGTGCTCCAGCCCAAGAGAAGTGTAGGTTTCTTTTGCACGAGGTGAGGTCCGCGACCAGTTATGAGATTAAAGGGCTACAGGATCTAAAGTTATTGTACACTGTTGCGAAATTTCGGAAAACGGTCAAAACGATGATTAGGGACATTCGAAAGAACAAAGATTCCACGCCGAGCAAGCCGGAAGACATTCTAAACGCTTCGATTCAGAATGCAAAATCGAAAAACAAATCCGACGAAGATACATCAATCGTATCGGCAACAACGATGATGACGCCAGTAACGATGACGATGTCAACAACAACTTCAACAACGACTATGACGTCATCGACAATGATAACAACAACGACAGCGGCCATGATAACGACGACGTCGACGATGACGACGACGACGACGACGACGATGGCAACAACGATGATGACGTTAATGACAACAATGACGACGACAACAACAACGTCTACACAAACGCCAACGGCAACGCCAACGAGTACGATGACTACGTTAACACAAATGTCAACACCGATGCAGACATTGACACTAAGCTCGATCTCGATTCCGAGTTCGACTCAGAAAGAAACGAGCGGCAAACAGTCGCTTGCATCGCCGAGATTAGAAAATTTATCAGGTAACAAGAAAACTAAGATTACAGAAAGAATGAGACAGAGAACTTTGAATATCGATTCAAACGAATTGATGGTAAATATTATAAATTTTGTGATCACCGAGGACGGTGGAGACGTAGAAACTCTACGTCGAGCCATGTATTGTCAGATGCAGCGGGCAAAATTACGCGAGCAAGGAATCCTAATGATGCAACAATTGCTGAAGAAGGATTATTTGATAACATCGGTAAAGTATTCGTTGTTAAACGGTTGGCTCGGCCTATCCCACGAGAATAAGTCTTTAGCTGATGGAATAACGCATTGCCTCGAAAACATTCAGTCGGTAACACCCTATCAGAAATCGAAGATTATTCTGGCCGAGGCAGAAGTAACTTCTTGGGCGGTGCAAGCTTTGCGAGCGTACGTTGTTCAGGCAGAATTGCCGAGCAATCAAAAACCAGCGAAAATCAGCGATAAGAGCAGTTTGAATCAAGGAACGTACACTTGGCTGCGAAAGTTGCCTAGGGCAAGATTTTTGTTGACTATATTAGGCATACTAACCAATTATCAGCATGCAAACGAAGTCGGATTATTAATAAATTCTGGTTGTGTTTCGAGTATTTTAACATTACTCAGGCAGATCGGACCATCGACATCCACGGAGACGGACGCAGACGCCGAAGCGGACGCGGATGCGAAACCAAAAGATGCGCCGGTGACGGTTATATACGAGGACAGTTTGGAGAGGAGCAAACCGCAAAGCATTCAATTGACTGGTAGCGAATTGGCGGCTATGATGAAAATTGGTACAAGAGTGGTACGCGGTGTAGATTGGAAGTGGGGAGATCAAGATGGTCCTCCACCGGGTGAAGGTCAAGTGATCGGAGAACTCGGCGAAGACGGCTGGATTCGCGTACAATGGGACAACGGCACCACCAATTCGTATCGCATGGGGAAAGAAGGAAAATATGATTTAAAACTAGCCGAACCGCCAACACCACCAGAAACCGACAGCGAGAGTGATACGCCGCACAATCTGGCTAAAAACGATAAAAGAAACGATTTGTTGGACATGCACCCGACCACTTGTCTAAAATCCGCCTCCGTTACCGTACTCCGCGTTCTTTTATTCTGTTGCGGCATCGAAGCTGACCGGGTCACCCCGTCCGCCATAAAGATACTCGCCTCTGTGTTACTCGGTATCGTATCTGCTGCGTACAAGTCCGAGTTTAACGCGCACTCTCAGCTCGCGCGAGAACACCACGAAACTTGGGCAACTCTTGGTTCGTTGAGAGCAATCGCCAAGTCTACGGAACTCTGTAAATCTCTGAGCACCAGGGCCTGGATCAATTTCCTTTTGAACATAATTGCCGAACAAAGGAATCCTGATTTGGAAAAACAGATAATGGCGGTGCGTCTACTCACCGTTGTTTTACCATCTTGGTCAGCCGACAATCCTATCCAGATGCCCTTCCTTGAAAAAGTCTTCCGTATATTAGGACATATCGCCCTTAGCTGCAATCTGGGTGTTTCCTCAGAACTTTATTCAAATAAATGTCGCGTCTCCTTGACCGCTTCTCATAGTTCCACCGTGGTCGAGGAGCTTGTTTCGCTGACCAGATTTTTGCATTCCCTCTCAAAGTGGAACGCGACTGTGAACGCTTTTCTCGCTTCGAAGCTATCACTCGCGTCGGACTTATTAAGCGATGGTCCACTCTTTCATATACAATTGAACGAGAACGGAGGTGAGAATAGCGTAAACATACAGGATACGGTGATGGCGGCTCTCATCGTCGTCGGAGGTCTCGACGATAGACCGAGGATCGGTGGTTTGGTTGAAGTTGACAGACAGGTCGGTACCATATGCAAATTTACCAAGCATTCGAAGATTCTCGTACAGATACATGATGAAACGAACGGTGACGCGCGCAAGAAGATTCTGTTTTTCAATATGAAGCGACTCTGCGAAAAATTCCGTTTGGATCGAATGCCTATGCCTGATTCTTTCGTGTCTACTTGGGCTAATTTGTTGTTGGGTCATCGGGGAATGGACAAGAGACCGAACGGTATGCCGGTAATAGCTGGTTCTGTGAACGCATCTATTCTACGTAATCAACAGCAACAACTTGCTGCGTTGAACGCCGGAAAAGCTTTGTTGGATTATCAGACAAAATTAAGAAAGATACTGAAATACGTGATTGACAGTAATAACAGTAGCAGCAATAGCAACTGCAGCAATGGTAACAACAACAATAACAGTCATAACAACAACAATAACAACAATCACCAGCACGGCCATCACCATTATCATCACCATCATCATCGTTATCATCATCATCATCACTATCATCTCCATCATCATCATAATAACGGACACATCGACGAGGAGAGTGGTTGCGACGTTGATGGCCGGCAATGGGACAAGGATGGAATTAAATGTGCCATGGTTACTGTTGGTCGTATCGATCAGGTCGATGCCGATCACGGTGGAAACAACGACAACAACGACGACGCCAACGACGTGGAAGAGAATGATAATGAGGAGAACGATGATGATGGTAACGACGACGACGAGGAGGAGGAAGGCGAGGACGATAATATCATAGCGAATATAGTCGACAGTAGCAGAAACAACGGTAATAGTAGCAACAGCGATAAAAACAAGAACATCAACAACAATGACAAGTTTGAGAACGTTGGAAGCAGTAATCGAAACCATGAACGCGTTGAAGGTAATCTCGTCAACGGCGACATGGATGGCGAAGATAATTATATAGATGTCACGAATAGCAACGTCGATGGTAGAGGAGATGGTCGCACTAGACGGACGACTCTGTTCCAAGAGATGTTAATACGAGCTACGAAACCGCAACCATTGAAGCCGATATTTAAACTTAAGGAATTGGAAGAGGCCGCTCTGGCGGTTTCTCAATATTTAGCTTCCGAACTGAGACATTCGCCGATTCAAGGAACGACGACTACGATGACATCGACAGCGGCGACGATCGCTGGGCCTGGAATGGGAATAGGAACAGCATCAACATGCGGTTTAGCATCTGCGTCCGCATCAGCGTCAGGAACGGCTATGGCAATGACAGCAGGTCCATTTTCGGAACCAGATTCTCCCGCATCCGATTGTTCCTTGGTATCGTTGACGTCTAGTCAAAGGAAACATTGCAGAAGTAGCGGAAGGAAAAGTCCTCCGCCGATGAGTCCTCTTGTTGCGCAATTGACGGAAATGGGTTTTCCAAAGAGGAGCGTGGAATTTGCGATCAAAAGTTTGAGCACGGCAGTTGGGCTCATCACGGCAGAAAGCGTGGTGGCCTGGCTCCTTGAAAATCCTGACGCAGCGTTGAGTGATAGCGAAACGTTATCCAGTGTATATGGGTTATCCGATCCGGAGGATTCGACGAGCGAAAATATCGACGAATCCCCGTCGACGCACGACGCTGTTTCTTCTTCGATGATACCGCCGAATTATATGAAACGTTCCGATTTCTTGTCAGTTGACGAATACGCGATCTACGTAAGGGATAATCTAATACCGGGTATGTTAGTACGGTGCTGTAAAAGCTACGAGGAAGTGGAATACGGCGACGTTGGTCAGGTGATAAAAATCGACCCGGAAGGTTTACACGATTTGAATGTTCAAGTTGCGTGGCAGCGCAAAGGCGGTACTTATTGGGTAAGATTCATCCACATAGAACTTCTTGGTCATCCGCCAGCGATACCAGGCCCAGCCACGCTGAAGATTGGTGATAAAGTAAGAGTGAAGGCTTCAGTGACCGTACCTAAGTATAAATGGGGTACGGTGAACCATCAAAGCGTCGGAGTGGTTACAAGCATAATAAACAACGGGAAAGATGTGTCGGTCGATTTTCCGCAACAAAGCGGTTGGACCGGTTGCGCGATAGAAATGGAGCGAGTCCCCTCCTGTCACCATTCGGTCTCGTGCAATTCTTGCCACCTGTTACCGATATCCGGCCCGCGATTTAAATGTAAGTATTGTGAGAGTTATAATCTCTGCGAAAACTGTTTTTATACGAAACGATGCCACCGACACGGGTTCAATCGAATCGTGGAGCCAGGTTCGGCGGCGGTATATGCCGGCAAGCCGGGAAGGTATCACAGGCAAGACTACACGGAATCGTCCTTGATCGACGACTGGTCCAAATGTATACGAACATTGAGCGTTTCCTCGCGAGAAAGTTGGGCGACACGTCTAGTCGATGGATCTGGTCTTTACTGGCAGAGTTGCGGTTCTCAGGGAAAGCATTGGATTCGTATGGAAATGTTGCCGGGCATACTGGTGCATTCGCTAAAAATAATGGTGAATCCGCAAGACAGCAGTTATATGCCATCGCTGATCGCGGTAAACGTTGGCGAGTCGTTCAATAGTTTGGTAGAATTGGCAACGATCAGCGTACGGCGTACTGACACGAGCGTTCTCTTACTCCAGGATACCAAAGAATATTATTCTTGCATCGAAATAGCGATCAAGCAATGCCGAAACGGTGGGATAGATTGCAAGATACGCGGCCTTCAAATAATCGGCAAGAGAAAAATGTTTGAGAATCATTTGGCAACGTCCGTTTCATTTTTGGCCTCGGATTGGGAGATCGTTCAAGAGCAGATGAACTTGCAGCATGGATCCGAGCCACCGCCCCAACATTCGGCTGTCTACGTCTGGGGATTGAATGACAAAGATCAACTCGGCGGACTGAAAGGATCGAAGATTAAGTTACCGGTTTACAGCGAAGTTCTCTCGAAATTAAAACCTATTCACATCGCTGGTGGCAGTAAAACTTTGTTCGTGGTTAGCCAGGAAGGGAAACTGTACGCCTGCGGAGAAGGAACGAATGGTCGACTCGGCCTTGGGGATGACAGCAACGTGTGCGAACCGAAGCTCATTCCGTTCTTGAGCCAGTATATGATCAAAAAGGTAGCTGTACACTCGGGTGGAAAGCACGCGTTGGCCCTCACCCAGGACGGCAAAATCTTCTCATGGGGCGAGGGGGAGGATGGCAAGCTCGGTCACGGGAATTCTGTTTCCCTGGATAAGCCAAGGCTGATCGAATCTTTAAAGTCAAAAAGGATACGTGATATCGCGTGTGGGTCTGGACACTCGGCTGCGATAACAAGCAGCGGAGAACTATACACCTGGGGACTAGGGGAGTACGGAAGATTGGGCCACGGCGACACAGCCACGCAAATGAAGCCGAAACTGGTACAATCTCTAGTCGGTCAGCGCGTGATACAGGTCGCGTGCGGTAGCAGGGATGCGCAGACAATGGCATTGACAGCTGACGGATCGGTATACTCATGGGGTGACGGAGATTTCGGTAAACTGGGTCGGGGAGGCAGCGACGGTTGTTACACGCCCTTGTTGATCGACCGGTTGAATGGTTTGGGAGTAGTGCAGATCGAATGCGGGGCTCAATTTTCCCTGGCATTGACGAAATACGGAGAGGTATGGACGTGGGGCAAAGGCGATTACTTTCGACTTGGTCACGGTAACGATCATCACGTTCGAAAACCAACGCTGGTCGAAGGACTTCGTGGAAAGAAGGTAGTACATGTGGCTGTTGGTGCTCTTCATTGCTTAGCGGTTACGGACACTGGGCAAGTATACGCTTGGGGTGACAATGACCATGGTCAACAGGGAAATGGTTCGACGATCGTTAATAAGAAGCCATCACTGGTGCATGAATTGGACGATGCGAGAGTTAATCGGGTATCTTGCGGCTCCAGTCACAGTATTGCCTGGGTCTTGACCGATCAACCGGCAACCAACAATCACGAACCTGTCATGTTCCCAACCGAGAAAGATCCACTTGGTCAAATATCGCTAACATTCAAAAGCATTGTGAACCACGGTACAGATGCAACGGATTCGAACGGCTGCCCAGTACCCTCTTGCTCCACAATATCGTCTACCATTCCCTCCGCGAATAGCGACGAAATTACCAGCACCGGTGACACGATCGTTCACAATTCCGGCCAATCCTGCGGCAACAGACCTTCTCTCTCGAGCATCATTCTCTCGCTAGAAAGTAACGTAGCGAAACAACAAGCATTGCAACACGTGATAAACGCTCTTCGTATAATACAAGCTCGAATCATCGTAGTGACAGCATTGCAAAGTCATTCGACGTTAAAATCCAACACTGGCAATACCGGTGGCAATGTTTATGGTATTAATATTGGAAACGGTGGTACGGTAGGTTGCTTGGCGAGCGAAGTGACGGCACCGGACGGAACTGTTACCGTTGGGTCGACCAACGTCGCCTCAGGAAGTAGTCATAGTCACGTCTATCAGAATGTGGGAGACAGCGCGCAAGGTGGTGGAGAAGCACCAGCGAACGCGGCAGAATTGGTTAATCTGGTAAATAACAGTCCGCGAACGAGTCCCGAGTCCGAAGATTATCCGTTAGCGGCGGTGTTTCCCTCGATGTCCAGTTCGGCCAGTTTGTCTTCACGTGCCTCAAAGATGTCAAGCAGTGCGATGAGCGTGATCGCAGCTACTCTTACCTCTAATGCTCAAATAGTTGGTGAAGGACCCGCCGCGGATCCTAACTTGGATGATTTTACATGCACGTTGACAGAGGAGGACGCCAGAATGCTGGTCGATCTTCTAAAATTGGCGGTTGCCAATAGAATATGCAGAGGGGCGAAAGAGACGATATCCTCGGTACTAATCGCACTAGCAAAAACGAACCATTCGATTCGTAGTATGGTGCTGGAGCTTTGTATCACTGAACTGGAAGACACGGTGGTAAATTCGGGTAATAGAAGCAACGTACCTCAACCGGTCGTACAAGAAAGTCCACATCCGTACATAGATGGTACCACGTTGACCGGGCATGTGAAGGTACCCGGCGCGGAAGCTCTCAGAGTTGAATTCGACCGACGTTGCTCTACCGAAAGACGTCATGATCCGTTGACCATCATGGATTCCAGCAATCGAATACTAGCTGTGAAATCTGGCAGAGAATGGAGCGAGTGGGCCTCCGAGATTCGAATCTCGGGCGACGAGCTCAGATGGAGATTCTCCTCGGACGGATCGGTGAACGGTTGGGGATGGCGATTCACCGTCTATCCTATACTCGCGAGCCTCGCACCGCATGAGCTAGTCTCAGACAGAGCTGTTCTGTCACAGCCAGCTATCGCGCTTGCTGAATCTCTTTTGGACAACACCCTGGTCACCTTGGATAGGAATATCGCCACTCGATTAGCTGCCACCCTGGCTCAGTGTAGTCAACTGAGCGTATTATCCGCTCAGCAACGAATGTGGGCGTTAAAAAAGTTGCAAGTCGTTTACACTAGTGGACCGGGCATACGTCCAGAAGTCGCGCTTTCTTCGCTCCTCGGCTCTTTACCTCAAGCATTACTCAAACAATACACCTATGAAGATCCTTTGGTTCGCGGTGGGAAGCAGTTGATGCACAGCGACTTTTTCAAGGTTCTTGTCGCGCTTGCCTGTGACCTCGAATTAGACACGATGCAATGCTGCTCGGAAATTCACAAATGGTCTTGGTTCCGAAGGTACTGTCTATCGGCACGGGTCGCCAAGTCTCTCGTAAATCGGACACGCCTTCCAAAAGCGTTTTGTCTCGAAGTTACCAAAAGAATTAACGAGATGATCACGGACGGAGAGGGAAATACCAAGGATCATGAGAGTCACGAGTTATTCAAGCAGGAACACGACGAGCAACTGTTACAGTGGCTGAACCGCAGGCCGGAAGATTGGACATTATCGTGGGATGGTTCCGGAGCAATTTATGGTTGGGGACATAATCATCGCGGCCAATTGGGTGGACTTGAGGGAGCAAAAGTGAAACTACCTGTCCTCTGTGAGAGCTTGTCTGCGCTTCGACCCGTTCAGCTCACTGGTGGAGAACAAACTTTATTAGCGGTCACTGCTGACGGGAAGGTCTATGCAACCGGTAAAGCTTCTTTTTTCTCTTTCTCCTCCTCTGATCCAACTTCCGTTCTACTGAATCTTATTATTTGTCTTTACGGATAGGTTACGGTGCCGCCGGGCGTCTAGGTATCGGAGGAACGGATTCTGTTATGGTACCGACTCTTTTAGAATCCATCCAGCATGTTTTCGTTAAGAAGGTGGCCGTCAATTCAGGAGGTAAACACTGCCTTGCTCTAAGTTCTGAGGGACACGTTTATTCTTGGGGAGAAGGAGACGACGGAAAATTAGGTCATGGAAACAGGTTGATGTACGACCGACCGAAATTAATCGAAGAGTTATTGGGGACCGAGATTGTTGATATAGCTTGCGGTGGCCATCATAGCGCAGCAATCACGAGTGCCGGTTGGCTTTATACTTGGGGAAAAGGTACAGCAGTGAGTCAGAGAAAAAAGGATATTAGAACAAGAACAAATGAAAAGATAAATAGAAGCAAATCAAAACGTATGTATAATCCAAGCAAATATAAGATTTATCGATTACAGGTCGATACGGACGACTAGGTCATGGAGATAGCGAAGATCAATTAACACCCAAACTAGTCGAAGCTCTGCAAGATTATAAAGTAATCGACGTAGCATGCGGAAGCGGTGACGCGCAGACTCTTTGTGTTACCGATGATGATAACGTTTGGAGTTGGGGCGATGGAGACTATGGAAAATTAGGTAGAGGAGGTAGCGATGGCTGTAAAATTCCAATGAAGATCGAATCTCTCGCAGGACTTGGCGTTATTAAAGTTGAATGCGGCAGTCAGTTCTCGGTAGCTTTGACAAGATCGGGAGCAATATATACATGGTAAGGATCCGAATCATAGATCTTTCGGCGACGATTTTGATTGGTTCGTTGATACATTCCCACTGTCTCTCTTTCCTTGTCTCTCTCTTCCCCTCCCCTTTCAAATCCTTCGCATTATTCTTAAGCAGTTAAACTGTAGATTAAATTTTATACATAAATAGGGGTAAAGGAGACTATCATCGTTTGGGTCATGGAACAGATGATCATGTTCGAAGACCGCGTAAAGTAGCAGCCCTTCAAGGGAAAAAGATCATCTCGATAGCAACAGGTTCATTACATTGCGTAGCATGTACTGATAAGGGAGAAGTTTTCACTTGGGGAGATAATGATGAAGGCCAGTTAGGCGATGGAACAACAAGCGCACTTCAGAGACCAAGACTAGTCCATGCATTACAGGGTAAAAAGATAACTCGGGTTGCTTGTGGTAGTGCTCATACTTTAGCATGGAGTACAATGAAAGCTACTCAAAGCAGAATGCCTGCTACTACACCAATGGAATATGATTTGGTAAAGGATTTACCTTTCCCTGTGTTACACAATCGATTAGTACTTCTTCATCATTTTGCCGAATTACTGTGCCCATGTTTGCCAATGTTCCCAATCACCGGTCCCGTCAGCTTGAGTAAATTGGCTCCTATGTTAGTATACAGCATTAAAGAAGCAACTTTTCGTAAAGTGGTTCAAGCAACAATGGTTAGAGATCGACAACACGGGCCAGTAATAGAATTAAATCGAATACAAGTAAAGCGAGCCAGAAGTAAAGCTGGATTGGCGGGACCAGATGGCATTAAATCCGTTTTCGGACAAATGGTCTCTAAGATGTCTTTGTTAACGCAAGATGTGCTCTTCTTTCCTCATAGGGTCTGGAAAGTAAAGTTTATCGGTGGGTTAAATATAATTTTACTATTCGATACGAACAATGAAAAAGAAAAATATAGAACAGAAAAAAGAAGCTTGAGAACTAACAAGAAATACAGATTAATACATACCTTAATAAGATCGTCTCACATTCTCAACAGGAGAAAGCGTAGACGATTGCGGTGGTGGTTATAGCGAGAGTATAGCGGAAATATGTGACGAATTACAAAATGGTTCTTTACCTTTGCTTATACCAACGCCAAATGGTCGAGACGATAACGGCACTAACAGAGATTGTTTTCTTCTGAATCCAATAGTCGATTCGCCATTACATATGAACATGTTTCGATTTCTTGGAATTTTAATGGGCATAGCAATAAGAACTGGTAGCCCATTAAGTTTGAACTTGGCGGAACCTGTATGGAAACAGCTCGCAGGTATATCCTTAACACCTGCGGATTTGACCGAAGTTGATAGGGACTATGTTCCCGGATTATTATGCATCCGAGATATGGAGCCTGACGAAAAGGTATTTCAAACTCTTGAAATGCCATTTTCCACACCGTCTGCTGTAGGACATGACATACCTTTGTCCAGCAGGTATTTACTTCATTGATGATTCATTTACTTTAGCATTTATTTATATAGCTTTCGTTTTTTAATGAATGTATCATCGGCATCGATTCTTCTTTTCAGATATCGAAAAATTACTCCAGAAAATAAACACGAGTATGTCCAGTTGGCATTAAATTATAGATTACACGAGTTTGATGCTCAGGTGGCTGCTGTTCGCGAAGGAATGTCAAAAGTTATACCTGTACCCTTTCTCGCGTTGTTCAGCGGACCTGAACTAGAAACAATGGTTTGTGGCAGTCCAGATATACCACTTACTTTATTGAAATCTGTTGCAACTTATAAAGGTATAGATATCAACGATACATTTACCGATACGGTTGAATTTTCTAAGTCTTACAATCTTTACTTCTGCTGTTTTAGGCATTGAAGCCACCGCTCCTTTAATACAATGGTTCTGGGAAGTAATGGAAGAGTTCTCCAATCAAGAAAGATCTTTGTTTCTACGATTCGTTTGGGGTAGAACTCGTTTGCCACGAACAATTGCCGATTTTCGTGGAAGAGATTTTGTTTTACAAGTAATGTCAAGTAATTTTTAATACCTTTTTACAATTGTTTATTTGTTATTCTTACTTTTTCTAATCCATTTTAGGTAATGGATAAATACAATCCACCGGATCATTTTCTTCCTGAAAGTTACACATGTTTTTTCCTCTTGAAAATGCCAAGGTATTCGTGTAAACCAGTATTGCGACAAAAATTAAAATATGCAATACATTTTTGCAAAAGCATCGACACCGATGAATATGCTAGAGTACAAGCTGCGACCAATTCAGACACCGAAGAAACGGACAGTCTTGCTAGCGAAGAGTACATATCGCTTTAATAAAATTGATTCTGCAATTTTTTTTCCTTACAATTAACTTTCTAATCTCTTCAATTAATGAACAAAATTGGTTACCAATTGGTAGAATAATAATTTCTGTAAGCCAAAGGAAAACAACAAACATCGCTTTCCTCATTTTTGTTTCGATTAAGTGTAAGAAATATTTTTGCTTGTAAATTTGTGTAATTTAGATTTATTAAGCGTAACAACTGTACCACACTCTCTCTCTTTCTCTCTCTCTCTCTCTCTCTCTCTCTCTCTCTCTCTCTCTCTCTCTCTCTCTCTCTCTCTCTCTCTCTCTCTCTCTCTCTCTCTCTCTCTCTCTCTCTCTCTCTCTCTCTCTCTCTCTCTCTCTCTCTCTCTCTCTCTCTCTCTCTCTCTCTCTCTCTCTCTCTCTCTCTCTCTCTCTCTCTCTCTCTCTCTCTCTCTCTCTCTCTCTCTCTCTCTCTCTCTCTCTCTCTCTCTCTCTCTCTCTCTCTCTCTCTCTCTCTCTCTCTCTCTCTCTCTCTCTCTCTCTCTCTCTCTCTCTCTCTCTCTCTCTCTCTCTCTCTCTCTCTCTCTCTCTCTCTCTCTCTCTCTCTCTCTCTCTCTCTCTCTCTCTCTCTCTCTCTCTCTCTCTCTCTCTCTCTCTCTCTCTCTCTCTCTCTCTCTCTCTCTCTCTCTCTCTCTCTCTCTCTCTCTCTCTCGTAAATACACACGCGTGAATTATTAAAAATGTATTATAAAAGCTGTATTACTTGGCATCGAAGATACTCTAGAGTATTATTAAATTTGACATATTTATTATTACAAACTATAATATTTAATATATAATTTTTCATATATACATACATATATTATTTGTATGCCTGCGTACACGCAATCTTTTCACTTATTTATTTATTTTGTATTTATATTTAATATCTGTATGATTGAAAGACTGTATGTATTTATGTATGTACTTTATATATATCTATGTACGCATGAGCATACTGACATCCGAATTACATTGTTGTATATCTTCATTTGCCTTTTATAATTGTTGTTATGAAAAGACGAGAGTAAGAGTTACGAACTAATTGTTATTACGGAACACGTATGGTTGGTTTATGTTGAACGATATTTTTGAATAATATTTAATTTTACTTATTAAACAAGTAAGAAATATCATGGAAAGAATGCTACTTAATAATATCATATTATTAGATACATATGAAATTTCATTAAATTTGATTCTATTAAAGATTATTTTTGTATTTTGCAAAACAAAAATATTATCATAAATAATTCTCATTGCCTTTGTTAAAGAGTATTTATAATAGAAACGATAAAAACGATTTATTTGCGTAATTATTAATAATGAAAGATATAACAAAAGTTTCATTCTTTCCATATAATGATAATTCTTATATCATAGACAAACAAGCTAATTAATCGAGGTATTTTATATTTTCATATCAATTTAAAAAAAATATATTACTTTTTAAATTCTTTCCATATAATTGCACATCAATACAAGAGAATCATCACTGAATATTGTAGAAGATTAATGAGTATATTTGTTAATGTGAATTGATAAATGTGGTCATTAAAAAGATAAAATACAAATAGAACAGTTTGATTGTATGGAGTGTATCATTGGGATAATGTAAATTCATACTGTTTCTCTTCATATGAAAAACATGTTCCATTTAATAAAGCACAAGGTATTTGTAGCTGTTTGTTTTAGTTCATATAGAAATTACTAAGATTCTAATAAATTATTTTCAGTTTCATAGAGTGTGTATTAATTACACGAAATCAGTAACAAGAACACTGAATTTATCATCCACAATACAGTTGCCAGATTATGCAGATGTTGTAATAGTAGGTAAGTAACAAAATTCTCTAAGTATTTTACATCCTAATGTTCAAAATAACTTATACGTTAATGTATTACTTTCAGGTGGGGGTAGTGCAGGTTGTAATGCACTTTATCATTTAGGGAAATGTGGCATTAATGCTGTGCTATTAGACAAATCAAAATTAATGTCTGGTACTACGTGGCACACTGCAGGTCTTACATGGAGTATACGAGGTCCAAGTGATGTTGAAATGGAATTATTAAATACAACAAAATGTATTTTTAACTCCCTAGAAAAAGAAACTGGAATAAATCCAGGGTGGATAAACAATGGTGGACTTTACATTGCACGTTCCAATGTAAATATTCATTATATTGGTTTCCTTCTCTTCTTCTTATTCTAGATAATCATCCATTTAATGTTACTATTACTGTTATTGTTATAATTGTCGTTATCATTAATATATTTTTGTTGTTATTAGCATTTAATACTTAACATTATTTACTTATTACAGGAACGATTAAATGAATATAGAAGGCTAGTTACTGGTTCAAAGGCTTTTGGTATTCAAGCACATTTAATTTCTTCTCAAGAAGCAAAAGAGTTATTTCCCTTGTTAAATGAGGACATTATTCAGGGAGCATTTTACTCTTCAGAGGATGGAGTTATTGACCCGACCATGTTAATTAATGCTTTGACAAAGTCAGCAAAAACTAATGGTTGTCAGGTAATAATTATTTAATAAGTCTCCTTTTTTTTCTTTTACAAATAAGAACAATAATCAGAAAAAGAAAAGTATACTAATAAAGTTATTAAAATTGTTTAGATTATTGAAGATTGTCCTGTTACGAAGATACTCACAAAGGAAACTATTAAGAATAATAAAAAAGTTTATGCTGTAGAGACTCCATATGGAATCATAAAAACAGATGTTGTTCTCAATGCTGCTGGAGTTTGGTCAAAGAGTGTAGCAAACATGATTAATATGAATATTCCTCTAACACCAATTAAGCATGCTTACATTGTTACAGAACCCATAAAAGGATTGCAGAATCTTCCAAATATAAAAGATCCTGATGCGAGTCTGTATTATCGAATTCAGGGTAGCTCAATAGCTATAGGTGGTTATGAACAGAATCCTATTGTATTACCATCTGTGAGTCTACAGTAATTCATTGTCACTTTTAACACATAATCAACAAGTATCTTGAATGTATCCAAAAAAAGAAACAATTTTACCAATATTAATCATATTCTTTGTTTACATAAAAGGCTCCAGAACATTTTTCATTCTGCCTCTATGAATTAGATTGGAATGTCTTCAATGCACATCTAGAATCAATGATTCAATTGATTCCTAAATTATCAACAGTTGGAATAAGAACTACAATATGCGGACCAGAAAGTTTTACTCCTGATCATAGACCAATTATGGGTATGAAAAAATACCTTTATATATATATATATATATTACACCTTTTATTTCTTATTCTAATTTTCAATTCTCCAATTCTAATTTTCATTGAATTCAAAAGGTGAAGATCCAAATTGTTCTGGATTCTTCTACTCTTGTGGTTATAATAGTGCTGGAATGATGTTGGGAGGTGGATGCGGAGAACAAATTGCACATTGGATAATTAATGGTCGGCCAGATAAATACATGTTTAACTATGATATCAGAAGGTGGAATTTATCATTTCTTTTTTTTTTGTTTCAATCTTATCTGATCATTTTAATACTTCTAATTTTATATTTATATCTTTATTTGATTCATAGATTTTTACCAGAACAAAGAAACAACATGGTCTGGATACATGAGAGATCTCATGAAGCCTATGCAAAAAATTACAACATTATATTTCCACATGATGAACCATTAAGTGGAAGAAATCTTAAAGTGGATCCTTTTCACAGTGTAAGATAAAAATAGTTATACATAGTGTTTTTTATTTAATGACATCAATAAATAAATGTTCTACTGAATGCATCATGAAAAAGTAAAGCATTCTTACTTATTTAATGTACTGCAGTTACTTGTCGAAGACGGTGCTATTATGGAGGAATGTCAAGGTTGGGAACGTCCTGCATGGTTCTCTCCAACTAACAAAGTAGAAATTCTGTCATATGATTATGGTGGACATTATGGCACAGCAAAGAATCAGAATGATTATTATCGTACAATATTAGAAAAAGAATATAGCTTTAATTTCTCATCATATAACGAGATAGTAAGCTATTGAAATTAAAACATATTTAGAAAAAGAAAAATAAAGGTAAGGAGAAAAGGAAGTTATCAGTAACAAATGATTCTTCGTTAGATTCGGAAAGAAGTTCTTGCTTGTCGTCAAAATGTTGTTTTGTTTGACACATCTCACCTTGGAAAATTTTATATTTGTGGACCTGATGCTCAAAATACGGCAGATTATTTGTTCACGGCAAACATGAATTGCAACTTTAATAAAACAATTTACACTTGTATGCTGAATCATGCTGGAGGAGTTGAAACAGATTGTACAGTTACAGTGTTGGAACCTGGCTCAAGTGGAATTGTAAATCCGATATTTAAAGAAAAAGCCTTTTATATTGGTAAATTAATTTTTAAGTAAAATGGTATTAAAATAAATTAATGTTACTATCGCAAATTATGAAATAGCAATGTCTTACTTTCGTTGTTAGTCTCAAATGGTATTTCAATTTATCATACATGGGCTCACATGAAAAAGGTAATAATGGAAAAGGGCTTTGATGTATCTTTACATGATGTTTCTGAGCAAATTGGTATTTTATCCGTGCAAGGACCTAATAGGTACGGTATTATGTGCATTTTTATCATTCAAACTCTAGTCTATAAATTAATGCATCTACTTATAGTCGAAAAGTAATTGAGACATTGATTGAAGATGAAATCTCAGATGAATCTTTTAAATATTCAACTACAAAACTGGTAAAGATTAAAAACGAAACGATACGTTTAATTAGACTTAGTTTCGTTGGTGAACTTGGTTTCGAATTACATATTCCAAAATCATTTTGCCGAATAGTTTATAAAACATTAATAAATTGTGGTAAATCATATAATATAAAACATGCTGGTTATCGAGCACTGCATAGTCTCAGTTGTGAAAAAGGTATGTGACTAATTTTAATTAGTTTATTAATGTATATTATTAATATGATTAAATTTTTCAGGCTATCTTCTTTGGGGTTTAGATCTTAGAGCAGATGATAATCCCATTGAAGCTGGCCTTGAATCTATTTGTCGCAATACTGGAGAGTACTTGGGAAAAACAGCTGTCGATCGATTGCGAAAAATTGGTATCAAAAAGAAATTGGTGCATATTTATTTAAACAGGCATGTATTATAAAACATTATTATAAAAAAATTATTATAAAATATAATTTTCATATTCAATTTTGATAAAATAAT